CAGAAACCATACTGCAGAGGTCTGGAGACTCATGGCTAATATGCACTGAGCTGGAATTTGGCACAGCCATGAGCCAGGGCCACAATGGTAATTCGTGAGCCTTGCATTGAAACTCCGCTCCTCCCAGAATCAAAGAGTTGAACCATTGCGTTCTACCTAGCATGGCCGACAAGTCACACTCCTAACGAATTGTGGGCACTAGCAACTGAGGAAGTCCTAGTCACAGTGTGTGACTCGCAGGCCCCTGGATTTCGAGCACAGGACAGTTGAGGTACATTTTGCCACTATGAAGCCTGCTCTCACACGGCTGGCATCCAGTGTAACATTTAGACCCTTTTGACACATTGCGAGATCCACCTCGCGTAGTCCTCCTTGCATAGCAACGTTGAGCTGCTGGCTAGCCCTATGGGAGGGCTCTCTCAGCCTAGGCTCCATATGGGAGAACCTGTAGGAACAAATGTTCAGGCCGAGCGCTCATGCTCTCCACAGCATGCATGCAGCCATCTGAAAAGGAATGGTTTTAGAATAAAAGAGAATGCATCGCTTGGGACAGAATGCTGTTGAAAAATGAAAAGTGCATTGCCATTCATTGAGACCCCCAGGGACTCAGTATGCAAAAGGCCCCCAGTTGAGCCATGGCTTTCTGATATCTCAGTCTTCCTTCACCCTCCCTGCCTCCCTCAGTAGCCCTAGCCTGGTGTAGGAGCTCATGGAGCCCTCGTGCTTACCATTGTGTGTGAAGCACTGCCGTCTCTAGCCAGCCAGCCGAGAGATGAGCCACAGGACATCCATCATTGCCTCCTGCCGACCTTTTCAGGTTCACTGATGCTGCCATGGTCTCAAACTAACCCCAGATTGAAGCCACCCACCTACAATGGAATGGTTCATGAGTTCCTCAGCCTACCATCCCTTCACATCACAGCTGGTGGGGAAATGAGCAGGGCCTAGCCATGCAGTCCAACCACCCTGCCACAGACAGCAAATAGTACACCAACATCCAGCAGAGAGTTTGGGATTGAGCCTGATTTCCCCCTTTTTTGACTCACATCAAAAAATGAGGCCCTGTGAAGAGCACAGTGTGCCCTCACTCTTACTGTGTGGCATTCGCCTGATCTTCAGTCAAGTTTACGTCCAGGCTGAACCTGCCCTGCCTAGTTTGACTTAAGTAGACTGCTCAAGTTGTGGTTAGTAATGCCATCCAAATGTCATCACTCTGCCTGCTATTTAGCAAGTAAGCCTTCTGAGGACTGGTAGGCCAACTGTGCTCTTGCCCTGGTCCTGCGTGCCACCTTGTGGATATTTTAAGGATGGTGGCGTGGAAAAATGCTGGCCTCAAGGACAAGTCACATGGAGGTCTGTCGAGTACTGGCCAGCACGTAGAAAATCTAAACCCTCCATGCAGCTGCTGGTCTGCACTACCATGAGGACCACTGGGCTACACAGTAAACACCCCCTGTCCCTACCTGCCCTAGTGAACAAAGGGCCAGGGCCTAAGAAGTAAATAATAAGACCCTTCGTCTAGACATCAAATGGCAGAAGTTTGGAGTATCCAGTTCAGCCGCATCGAGCCTGCATTGAAACTTCGCAGCTTCCCACAGAATGACTAGGACCCCTTCACAGCTGGGAGAGCCAGCACTCATACCTTTCTGCATGTCCCAAGCTTTGGGGACTATTCAGCTGCACAGGGAGCCAGCTCTCACTTGTTGTCTCCTCCAGGGATGTGCTTATGGAATATTTTGCCACGCAGTGCAACTGTCTTCAAGCCGGCAGGAAAGCAACAGGTTTGAGAAGGCTAGTCAGACACACCACTAGTTCAGGCAGACCTGACTTTCATACCCTGGAACATTTCCGGCAGCTCAGGCAGTCAGGGAACACGCACTCCAACAAATGGTAATGCAGAAGTCCAGAGAGTCATGGTACAACATGCAGTGATCCTGAAGCTGCCTACAGCCATGAGCCAAGACCAAGATGTGAATGGCTATGACATGGATTGACGTGCCCACCCCCCACAACCAAATAGGTGAAGCCTTGGCTTCGACCTAGCATTGCAGACCCGTTAGAGTCGTAACACATGGAACGCGGGAGCAAGTTGAGGAGCTCCTAGACACAGTGTGATCCATCCATGCCCCTGGGCTTCAAGTGAGGTACTGTTTGCTCCTAAGAGACATGCACTCATAGGGTGGGTATACAGTGAAAACTTTCCTAACTGGTCGACGCATGGTGACAATCCCTTCTCGTCATCCACCTTGCAGTGCAACTTGGAACTGCAGACTAGCACGAAATGAGTTTACTCTAATTCCAGACACCGTGCAGGAGACTTTTCAGGAACAGTTGCTCATGCAGTGTGCTCCTGCTCTCCACAGTATGCAGACAGCCACCTGAAAATGAAGGGTTATGGAATCATGGAGAAAATCTCCCTTGGGAGAAAACCCTGCTGAAAAATGAGCAGGGCTTAGCCATGCATTGATACCAACTGTGATGTAGCATGCTCAAGGCTCCCAGTGGAACAATGGATGGCTAAGTCCTCAGCCTGTATTCCCAACAGCTGCCTCCAGCCAAAGGCCTAGCATGGATTGGCCGCCCAAGAGGCTCTCACTCCTATCATTTTGCATGAAACACAACTGGCTCTGTCTAGACAGCTGAATGATGAGCAGCACATCATCCAGGCTAGCCAGTAGCAGTCCAATTAGGTTACCTGGGCCCTCAGTGTGCTCACACTAACACCAGCCTGATGAAAACCATCTGACAAGGAATGCTTCATGAGTCCATCAGCCTGCCGTCACTTCAGCCTGCAACCTGTGGAGAATAGAGCAGACCCTAGCCATGCACTCAGCCCGACTTACCAAAGATAGCAGACAGTACAATCAAATACAGTGGAGAGCCATGCAGTGAGCCTGCATTCCCACCATTTTGACTCCGACAGACCAC